TCTCAGAGCAACAGAAATCCTCACCACTGCAACACAGAAGCAGGTGAGACATAATATTCTGATCATTATTAAAACATTTATTTTACAGTCAATCATATGTTATGCAAAATATATGGGTTGTATTCCAGAATACCGTTTAATAATTTGACATTAACAAGCATACTGTATCACATTTGATATAGTTCTAAAGCATCTAAATGATCGAAACTGAATTGGGAGATACAGAGTGACAACTGATATTTCTATGCATTTTTATGTAAATATCTGCTGTGCTGTTATGAAGATCTCAGTGATTTACATTACAACCGATCAGAATTTCATCTTACTTCCTGGTCACATACATATCAGCATCTGTACTAAATAGCATATTTTTGCTAAATTTTTTTCCTCTTTGAGTATGAGTTCCATATTCTCATTATATTATATGAGCCATAAAAGCCTGATGTATCATATAAGATACACAACAACAACAAAAAACACATATGCAAACTTTCTTTACAGATTTTAAAAAAATACTTTGTCTAAGGGTTTAATAAACTGTTCCATTAAAAAAATATATATATGTTTTTATGATTTTTTCATTTATGAGATTTTTCTGGCTATACTGACTATCAGGCTTTACTGTATGAATCCAAATATGTGTTTTTGTAATCTTAAAATCAATTTTAATGCTGCAGATAATTGTCTGCAAGTCTACTTAAGCACAAAATATTAAGACCAATTGTTATTTTAAAAATCATAATAACATAATTTTAAACTCTGACTAAAAAATTGAATACAAAAATATATATTTAATGCTTAATTAAAATCCAGTACATTACAGTAATAATAATTTCATATGGCACATATAGGATGTCCTTTTATTCTTCAAATACTGAGCAAAAATAACAATGAAACACAGATTCAGGTCACAAAATGCCAAAATTTGATTCAAGTCTCATTTGTTTCCAAGTCATGAATCCAAACATGCAAAAGAACACAGATCTCCATAATAACGGACTCAAAGTACTGTAAACTGTAAACTACGTGGTTCATCACCATACTCAAGGAAACAAAGGAAGAGTATCTAATTCTTCCAGCTCACAGGTCCTTCCCACCTGAATTCAACCCTGTATGTTCAGTGACAGCAGCCCTGATCGTAACCATCAGAACATCACGATCTACTGCATCCAGACCAGTGGCCTACTGTATGTAAACTCATGCACACTCAACAGATCCTGCTTCTTTTCCCATCCAGAGTGTTCTGCGTCAGACAGGAGCTGTTGTTAAACATCCAAACAAAAACACAACAACAAAACACCTGTCATGCTGGTGGAGCTAGAAGAGCCCGGGGCCAAACAAACACCTCCATTCTGGAAACTGTCATTTGGATGACGACAACAACAATTAACCACAGCAGCACTGCACCACACACACAGACTAATCACTTATATACACACAAATACACTATAAACAACATAACCATGTATATATAATGATTTTTAAAGTATAAAATTCATCCCAAGCCTGTTGCGTGGCATTAAATAACAACCACAGTTTAACTAAATAAAGCTTATATGAGAAACAACTAAGTCTTTTCACATTCATTAGCTAAAATACAAAGTTGTGTCTAGCATAAACTGAAATCAAGATCATGTTTTGTAGAAGAATTGATAGGTCTGTCTTAAATATAAGTTAAAATGACATCAGTTAGTTGATCTCTAACTTTTAATTAGCAAGCCTCACTTGTTGACCAAACAGAAACCAAGTAAATTAATTAAATAGCGATCGTTTTAGTAAAACACACTTTTGTCTGATCAAAACAAACCTGGTGAATGATCCTTCTGCTCCTCGAGTGGCTGAGCAGGTTTGACAACGACACTTCCGCGTACGGCGACACGACTGGGACAAAAGAGCGATTTTGTTACAATGGATTTTTCTTGTATCTTATCTTATTTATCGTATCTTATTTGCTCGGACGACAAAATGTAAAATGTCGTTTAAAATTACCCACTGAGAATTTATAAAGAAAGCGTTTTACTAATTTTACGCATAGTGCAGAAATGTAAGTATTTATTTTTGTGTTAGGCTGTCTCTAAAAATATAACACCCTAGCAACCACACTGAGTACCTTAGCAACCGCCCCGGGTACCCTAGCAACCGCATAGCAACACCCTAGCAACCACCCCGAGTACCTTAGCAACTGCCCGGGGTACCCTAGCAACTGAATAGCAACATCTTAGCAACCTCACGGGTATTCTAGCAGCTGCATATCTATCTATCTATGTATCTATCTATGTATCTATCTATCTATCTATC